ATTTTGTAGTTTATAGCAACCATAGCTATCCATTCCCTCTGCTTCTCCTCTCTTCTGATATTCTTTAATCCAATTCTGTTTTTATTTTACGCTTAGATTTTTGTGTTGTTGAAAGATATAAAAATTCATTTAACGCATAATAAAAATATCTGCACGTTATTTAGACAGTGCACCTGAGAGGCACAAAACGACCGGCGACGGACAGCTTTACGGCCCGCAACTTTGTATCTGTGTGTGTGTGTGTGCAAAATATATTTGCAGAATTTTTGTAATTAAATTATTGTCATACACTTAGCGCTCAATTAAAGACAGAGCAAAAATCTCTGCTGCACATTTCAGCTGCTTTTACAATTTAATGGCAAATATTGCAGTGTTCCGTGTCCAGTGCTCGCATTCGTATATTTTACATGCATTCCCCTCTGCTTGTATCTGCATCTTTAGGCATTTATTACCCCTCCGTTTGTATCTGTACTCTTCCGCTCAAGCAACTAATGGATTTGCCTGCTCCTTCTTCTTCTTCTGTTAGAAAATGGAAAAACAATTAGCAAAATGATTTACATGCAACCTCTACCCGAAAAGCCCGAAACCCGAAAAAGGAAGAAATAATTTTTCTCTCAATTTTCACATTGTTTTTACCGCAATATTTAACAAAATAATTATGAGATCAAAACGAAAAATGCCGACACATCAAAGTGTGGGCCCCCAAAGTTCATTTAACACTTGCTGCTGTTGCTGCTGTTGCGGCCGATGCCGCAGGTTGTGCCAAATGGCACTTTGACATCCCCATACCACCAGTCAGGGCCGTCGCCACACCCCCCTACGAAATGAATAGCAGCACCCCCTCCATCACGACTAAGTGGCCAGGCTTTAAGCTTTAGGCCGTCTGGGCCGTCGGGAGTTTCTGCTGCCAAGTCAAACAGAAGAAAATTTTCATTTAAGTGCCCACTAAAATGATTTTCAACAACCAAGCGACACAACTTTTATAAAAATATACATAGATTCCCTCATGTAATACTCTTCAAAGAGAGGGTGTTACGTTTTTGAGACGCTACGTTTTTTTAAACAAAAAGTGCCTTAACTTTGTGTGTTTCCAAGCAAAGGAGGGACTCAATTTTAAAGATAAATCTGCACAGATAATTTTTTGTATACTCCATACAGCATAAATATCTGAATAGCCAAAATATTATCACACTTATATAGGAATAACTATTAACTATAAAATCAATTAAAAAACATTGAAAACTTTTTGGTTCCAAAAGATATTCCAACAAAACTCAATAAACTATTGGAAATGCATTAATTTTTAATATATTCGATGACACTTTCGTGTATCCCTTCAGCCAAAGTCAATCTGTATAAAGTGTATCTATAGCTTCGGTGCTTCGTTACCCTCTGTAGATACTTTTCATCTGTTGGTTTTTCGTGTCTGGGCCTGCGGCTGTTTATTTTCATTAATTGTTCTCATGAGGAAAACAGCAACAAGCGACGAACCCGAACCCGTAGTCGCCGACGCTGCCGCTGCCGCCGCCGCCGAGCTGTTTGTTGTTGGCATGAAAAGTGTGACAAAGTGTTACGCATGCAAAAGATACATTTTCATCTTGTTGTTGTTGTTGTTTTTGTTGCTGTTGTCCATGTTAACTTGTTGGACTTGTCAGTAAAAGGGGGGGACGGGGGGAATGCATGAGAGTATCCCGCTGTGTGAATGATGGACTTTGTTACCGCCTCCTTCTCTCCATCTCTCCTCCGTGGCTCCATTCCATCATCGTTTTTGTTTTGTTTTACGTGTCGCATGCAACTTGCATGTTTTCTATCTATGTATCTGCAGGATACTTTTACTTCAAACACACACAGATACACATACAATTTGACTAATGATCTTCTCTCTCTCTCTCTGCACAAAAAATAAAAAGTCTCTCAAATTTCTTTTTTCTATATATTTTTTTAAATTTAATTTTTTTATTATTTCGTTAAAAAAATTCTCAAGGTTGCCAAAATCCACCCAATATGGCCATATGGTGTTGCATAAGATAATAACAACGGCAAAACAGCAAGAAACAAAAAAATCTGTAGTTTATTTTTGGAGCCGTTAAGTAGCCAAAGGTCGCGGCATCTTGACGCGTCTTTAATCCTCCAATGAGGGGGGTCCAATGAAAACACAACACCATCTTTTCAGTTTGTGTAAGCGGAGATCTCTGGGTCACAGAGCTGTGGCCTCACCGATACCTGCACCGTTCTCCTCCTCTGAGCTATTCCTCTGCTCTCACAGATACCTCTCCTCGCTGCGATAACTCCTCTCATTTGCCAAAGCAAACAAATTGGCGCCCCATCTATCGAATTGTTAACACTCTCGACCACTATGGACCATAGAACCCCAGCGCGCAACTATAGATATTTTCTGGCCCCAAGAGTCGCCGTGGCAACCGGTTCCGCAGAAACTTAATTAAAATAATATCAACATAACAATTTTTTTTTTGCCTTGGTTCGTATTTTTTTTCTTCTTCCTCATCGGAGCCGTTAAATGTATCCACACATCCATCTATCTCTTGTTCCCTCTCTGTCTCTGCCAATATTCATTCATGGGCAAAAGATCTTGACGTGTCTGTCTGTCCGTCCGTCCGCCCGTCCGTTCGTCCGTTCTACTACACAAAATAAAGAAAAATGCTATGCAAAAATATGCAGAGTGAAAGAAAAGACACGACAGAGCCGGGCTCTAGAGTGGGAGAGACACACACTACACAAACACACACACACACACACACACACACACATACATACATACAACAGATTTACAATATACATAAACGTAGATACGGATTCAGATTGAGACAGTGGCAAGTGGCTAAAAGGGAAGCTGGCATCTAGATATGAGAGCCAGATCCGTATCATAAAAACATAATAATCGGAGGAGAGAAAAATCTTCAGTTGCAATTCCCAAGTAGTAGTAGATCCGGTAGGGATTCTGAGTTCCAAATAATTAATTAAAATAATTCCAGAGTCATTTAATTCTAATTAAATAATTAAAATAGTTCTAAAATTATTTAATTCTAATTAAATATAATCTTTCAGACATAGAAACCTCTTCTACCTATTGATAAAATTCCAAACTACGAAAGTCAATCCAAATCTGAACTCGCTTTTCCCTTGTAGCCAATTGCCACTGTGGCACAGCTTTGGGTTATATATCTTTTTTTTTCTGTTCATTTCATTTAAGGGAGTGTCAATTGTTAGCCAAGTTATTAAGCGGACCAGAGGCCCAGAGAGTTTCGACCAAAAGACAAAGACCAACACCAGAGACAGAACCACGAAGAAAAACCCAGAAACCAGCAGGAGAAGGAGATGTATATGGGAGTATAGAATCTTCCAACCAGTTTCAGTCTCTCGTTATTTTTTTTTGTTTTTGGTCAGAGGTTTCGGAGGTTTTGCTGGATGGCAGATGATTCATGTGGCAGAGGCACCAGAGAGATACACAGATACAAATCTTTGATCGACTGTAAAAATTATTGACTCCAGCGCATAATTTTATGAATGAACTCGAGAGCCACACAAAAGATGGGTGGGAGGGGGTAGACGAGTGGAGCGGTGCGGAGAGCAGCGGAGGGTATAGACAGACAACGGGGCACAGCACGCGCTGGGCTTAACACAAATGTATCTACGGTATCTGGATATCTGTGTATCTTGTGGTGTGCCCTGGTCTGGCCTGGTCTGGTCTGGCCCTGGTGTGCCTTATGTATTTGAATCTGTGTCTGTTGCTTTTGCTTTTGCTTTTTGTTTGAATGTAATTTCACTCGCTCTGCCCGCTGTGTGTCTCGAGTGCACTCCTCCTCTGCCATGGAAATTATGCGTGAAATCAAATGTAAATAAAAAAGCAAAAGTGCCAAAAGCTTTAGAGAATGCCACATACCCTGTAAATGTAGAAAATGAGCGGTTTTGTGGCAGACAGCAGTGGCTGTAGGCACGACATTTGATGGTAACATGAAAGCTAGAGCCTCAAATTTAATTTTTTACCTCACAGATACGTGTCAGGCGTGTTGCTGTTGACTTGACCTCCCCCCATTAACCACTTCCAATGGGTATCTCTGTGGTCGTGTGACTCTAACTCTTTCTTCTTGCATCTTCGTGTTGTTTTTTCGTATCTGTCGGCTACGCTGTGGCACGGTAGTTATTTTGGCGCATAGCTGCCTGTCAACACAAGTGCACTTGTAATGCAAATCAACGCGGTCAAGCCTTTTGCCTTCGCCAAACAACACTCGAGCGGCATGAAACGATGAAGCGATGTTGATGATGATGATGATGACGCCACACATCTTTCGTGGAAGGAGGTGATCCATAGACAGAGATCTCTATAAAGAGAGAGAGAGAGAGGAGCTCTATGGCTCAATGCCCAAACTTGTCGTTGCACAGAAATCTCGCCAATTGCTATTTTTTTGGTTAGTTTATCTGTGATAAACATCCATAAGATACAACAATTATAAGCCAAGTTTATGTAGACATTTGTTTTATACAAGAAAAAAAAATGATCAGCCTCTCTAATTAAGATGAAGTTTGTTTGCTGCTGAAGATGACTCTTGCATAAGGCGGGGGGGGCGACGATACGATACGATACGATTGCATAAGGTCATACGCAGCGAGTGTGACCCATAGATGACCCACTTTTACCCAAAGAGCAGCAGGCGGAACCTGTCTTTATGTGTGTGGGAAAGCTACAACTGTTCTACTTCTCAGGCAGGGGCAAGTGCTTAATCGATTTTAATTTAATTGTTTTTAGACCGTGGGTGACAGTATTTTTTTTCAAGACTAATTGTTAAATAATGTCTGAGACGCGTCTCCAGTGTGCCCAGTGGATCCCCAGTGGCTCCCATTTGCTATCTGTGGCTCAGTCGATCGCTTTTTTATGGCTTGGCTTATGCAATTGAACAGCTGTCATGGCAAATCAATTGATTTTTCTATATGATTTCATTCAACTAATCAATCGCTTTTACTTCTTTCATCATTTTTCTTAGGCGGCGTAGCCCCTGGAACTCCATCAGCGGCCATGATCATGGAAGGGCTTGAAACCCTGGTGGCGCCAACCCATCACGCATTCCTGCTCACCGAATCGGCCGCTGCGGCCCATTTTAATGTCTTGAGCTTTGACACGTGCCTCTTCAAGACGAGCACTGCCGCCCAAAGTAGCAGTCCATCGGGTGGTGCCACCTCCACTGCTGCCTCATATCTGAGCCCAGCACAATTTGGACAGTCCTCGGCTGGAGCATCCACATCATCATCATCGTCCTCGTCGCTGTTGCAGCATTATACCACAGCCTCGGCGGCGGCTGCTGCAGCTGCAGCTGCCCATCATCATCATCATCAGCATCAGCAGCAGCATCATCATTCACAGCACAACAACAGCAGTCCCAATAATTCCGTACTACGGGCTCGCAATCAAACAGCCACACCCACGCAGGGCGGCAGTCCCAGCAACGTGGCCGTGCAGCCGAGTGCCACGGCCAGCAGCGGACGGAACTCGGCCTCGCATCTGAGTCTCCTGAATACCAGCCAACACGGCGGCAGTCCTGTCACAGCCACCACCGAGCATACGGAGGGGCATAAGCATATGATCGAGGCACTGCCGGGGGATCTAAATACACCGGTGACTACGTCCAGCGATATACCCTCGTTCTTTGGGCCATCCACTGTGGTGGAGCCACCTCCAATAACCGGTAAGTGTTACAGCATCTATTAACTTTAGCTATGGCGAGATATTAGAGTCTTTCAGGTCTTGGTTTTTACGGAAATTAAATATAGAAGAGAAAAGAATCATTTATCACTTTACACCCAATAAGCCCCCAAACAAAAATTTATATTAAAGCCATTTTCTAGGGTTTCTAATTATGAAATAATTTCAATAGCCGCACCATAAGGTGGACCGAGGTGCGTTGCTGCATGACGCGTCACATGTTTTACCAATAATTAAAGAGTCAATTTTAGCTTCATTTAAAGTTACCCAACTACATTTATTCCCAGAGATTTAACAGTTTAAAGTTTCCTCCTTTTTAGCTTGACTTTCCCCCATAAAATATTAGAAACAGATATAGCCTATAGCCTATATATATAGCATAATCTATAGGCATAAATCTTCGACGAGAAAACCCTCAAAAACATTTATAGACCTTTCTGATGCTGCTGTTTGGGTGAAACTCTTTTCTTTTTTTTTTTTTTGTTTCGCCTTGAAGTTTGTTTCTTTATCTGCCTGCTAATGGATGCTGCTGCAGCAACAGCTGGCACATGTGGCAGTGGCAAAGCCAGTTGCAGTTGCAGTTGGGAGTCTAGAGTCCACAACTAATCCGTTGTCAGTCTTAAGTCTCAACATAAATCAGCCTCAAATGGAAGTACATATGCGAAAAAAAAAAAATTGTCGTATCTTTTGGCTTTAATTCTCTCCAAACATATCTCAGCTTTTCTCTCTTTTTATGCCTCTTTCTCTTAGCTTTTGCCTTGCTTCCTCTTTGATTTGCCCTCACCGTAAAAACAAGTTCAAAATCTAAAGCAAACATTCTAAAATTTCAGTCAAGTACCAATTTTCGAAATATATATTTTTTTTGTACTTTTCTCATTTATTTGATTTATTTATTTGTTCGTTTTTTTGTTTGGTTTCTTTGGTGTTTTTTTTTTGTGTGTTAATAATTTTGTTGTTATTATTAAATTATGGGGCATGTTAAGAGATCTCCAGTCTCCAAGAGTCTTATACATCGTTTCTTTCCATTTTGATTACGCAGCCATAAATATAAATTAATAAAAAAATGTTGACATTCCAAATGGCTATATCTCTATATAGACTATAGAAAATTTATGTCACAAATATCTTTGGATACCCTTTCCAATGTATTACGGATATTATGATGTTAAAGAGATGTTTGCACGCAAAATTATATAAAATATAAATATATATGAAATAGTTAAAGGTCAATGCAATTTTTTTTGCATGTTTCCCTATATTTTTGAGTGTATCAAAAACATTTATACCCTCCCATGAGGTAGCTAATTCCTTTCTCTTTTTTCATTTTATATTTTATATTATTTTTTGCATTTTTTTATTGCAATTTTTGTTGTTATTGCCATTCTCATCGCTCAGATATTTCTTATACATATGTGGGGACTGCATAATAAGTAATAGGAACTTTTAATTAATCTCTAGAAAAAAAAGCAATAACAACAATAGCAGCACATGTATTAAACATTTCCGTTCAGTGTCAATGTTTCGAGAGCAATTTTCTCACTCGGCGAACGGCTCAAGATACGCGGGGATATCGCACACATACGAATATAAGTTATATCTTTCCAGAGACATATGTATACGTACATATATGTCGCTGCATTTCTAATTGAATTAAGGCAAAGCAAATAAAGTATACTAGATTTGCTGCTGCTATCAAAAACAATTGGGTTTAATTGTTCTTTCGTTCGTTCTGTCCGCAGCAGATACATTCTTTTCTAGACAGATTTGCTTTGCAGATACATTTTTTCATGTCAGATTTACTTTAAAGATACACTTTCGTAGACAGATTTACTTTTGAGGTTGAGATACATTTTTCCAAACAGATTTTCTTGCATCAATTGAAAATGCATAAAATCCAATATATCTTTCATATGTTTTCCAAATAAAATAAGTTTTAGATACAAAGACAGAAGCCAAGAAAATGTCACTCATAAATTTAATTCCCCCTCTCCCCAGAAAAAAAACCCACGCACAAAAAATCGTTGAGCAAAGCCAAAAAAAAAAAAAGAGAAACAAATAAAACACACAAAAAAGATACAGAAAGATTTACAAACACAGAAATCATAGACATGGTTGAATTTTCAAATGAAAATCCATTAAAACAATTTGCATGACAATGACAGAGCGGCTTTTAATCGCCAAAATTGGCAAGAGATTTGGACTTAAAACAGAAGAGGGCATTAGTTAGTCATGTGTCCAAAAGAGATGTATAGATATTATTCTCTCTATAGAGATATGTGGCAGCTATAGACAGAGAAAGAGAGAGAGAGATGTGGGGGAAAGTCTGGCTCCAGATATCTTTCTTTTTTTTTTTGGAGGGACAATAATAATTTGCTCTGACAGCATTAATGAGGCTTGCAATATATATTGTTCTACTCGTAGAACAATAGAATTTGCTATCGCTAAAAATTCTGTGAATTGAAGCGCACATACAGTGCCCCCATCCATGCCCCCCATGCCCCCCGATTCCCTCTCTGACTGTAACCAGATTGATGTCGCTGCACATTAGGCGCACTGCACACTGCAACTCAATCAATATCCAGGCTAAAGCCACACAGTCCACAGGCGGCATTAATGACAAGAATCGTGAAGCAGAGAAAAAAAAACAGACTTCCAACTGAACAAAAACAACAAAAAATATACTCTGCTGGGCAGCCGCGTAATTAGTCTTCTCGCCCGACACTTTTGCCTTGCCCCAAGTGCAACATTTTCTGTGTCTCTCTCTTTGGCTTCTTCTTGTGGCCAAGTAGTGGCTGTTGCTGCTGCTGCTGCTGCACGATGAGCGATGAGCGATGATGCCGACCTCCCGTGTTGTTCGATTTCCGCGAAATCAAAGCGCTGCCCAGCTGCAAGTATTCCCCGAGTATTTCAGTAGCCCCCCAATGCAAGCCAATGCCATTGCCATTCAAGCGAACTGTGATTGATATCGCACCCATGCAACCCAGCAGCAAAAACAGTGGCAGGAAGGGGCAGGGGTAATGGTAAGAGGAGAAGCCAATCCATCCATCCAAAAAGATTGTCAAAGGAAGAGATTTTCTTAAAAATATAACTCAACGTACAAACATTATAGCTATTAAATCCTAAGACTCAAAGATATCCCCAACATCTTATTATAATTTTATTTCAACAAAATAACCAAAAGTAACTAATAATTAATATTCCTCTATCCATTTTCCAGGCTCTATTGCATCGGAGGATCTCTCGCTGGAACCCCAAGTGGCTGTATCGGTGGGGAGTCCAGTTTTATCATCCGTTTGTAGTCCGTTAAAGGAGGAGCGTAGTACGCCGCCAGCATTGACTATCGTTAAGGAAGAATCAAGTAATAATAGTTGTAATATGTATCCACACCACAACAACAACAACACATCATCCGCAACAACTACAACAACAACAAAACAGACAACAACAAGCGAAAACAACAACAACACAATAACAGAGAGCGTTGGTTCGCCTGTAAACACTCAACAACACCAACAACAACAGCTGCATCATAGCAACAACAATTCTCACCAACAACAACAACAACAGCCACAACACAGCAGCTCCCCACCGCAGCATCAGCAACATCAATTCCAACAACACCAAATATTACACCAACAACAAAATCAACAACAACAACAATTGCCACATCATCATCACCATCACCACCATCATCACCATCATAATAGTCATCTGCAACAGCAACAACAACAGCAACAAACTCAGCAACAACACCAACAAACTCAACAACAACTCCAACAGCAACACCAACATCAAAATCAACAACAATTGCAACACCAACAACAACAGCAACTCCAACAACACCAACACTTTCAACAACAAGTACAACAACAACAAAGTGGCAAAATCTCATATCGCGGCATTTTCACCACAACAGGAAACGCAATGAATGCCGCAGCAGCAGCCGCAGCTGCCCAACAGCAGCAGCAACAGGCGCAACAGCAGCAACAACAACTTCCTTCCCCCCAGTTGAGTGTCCTACCCGGACAGATGTCACCACCATCCAATAGTTTGGGCAACAGTTGGGGCCTGCCCTCCCCGGACAAGTCGCTCTTCCAGCCACCGATGTTCGCACACTATGCCACCATGCAACAGCAACAACAGCAACAACAGCAACAACAGCAGCAGCAACAGCAGCAGCAATCCGCTGGTGCCACACCTTCGCCATACGATGATGGACGTGCAGCCGCCGCAGCAGCAGCCGCACAGCATGCGGAACTCCTGGGATTATCCATGGATTGCACTCCTCTGTTGCTGAAGCAACCGACTCCGACTTATGCTGGTCCCTCTGTGTCCACTGCGGGATTTGCCAGCCTGGCAGAGCTCCAGAGCAGCCACGACCAGCTGCAACAGCAGCAGCAGCAGTATGCCGTACGCTCCCAACTCTCGAGTGTCTCTACGCCCAAATATCAATGGTTGGACTCTCCGGCGGACTATGCCCCACAGCAGCAACAGGTGCAGCAAGTGCAACAGGTCCAACAGCAGCAACAGAATCTTGTCCTTCCGGGACCCACATCCTCGGCCAGCTCCAGCAATGCCGCTCTGGGGGTGCTCATTCCCAAGCAGGAGACCTATCCAGATATGCAGCCAAATTCCAATGGAACGGGCTACTCAGCAGCCTCTGGCGGTTCATCAGCAGCTGCAGCTGCCGCCGCCGCCGCTGCAGCGGCTGCCGCTGTGCAACTTGCAGAATATAGTCCTTCCACCAGCAAGGGCCATGAGATACTGTCACAAGTCTATCAACAGAGCACTGTGCCGCTGAAACTAGTGCCCGTCAAGCCGCGCAAGTATCCGAATCGGCCAAGCAAGACGCCCGTCCATGAGCGTCCCTATGCCTGTCCCGTGGAGAACTGCGACCGGAGGTTCTCGCGCTCGGACGAGCTCACCCGCCACATACGCATCCATACGGGACAGAAGCCCTTCCAGTGCCGTATCTGCATGAGGAGCTTCAGTCGTAGCGATCACCTCACCACCCACATACGGACCCACACGGGGGAGAAGCCATTCAGCTGCGACATTTGTGGCAGAAAGTTTGCCCGTTCCGATGAGAAGAAGCGTCATGCCAAGGTCCATCTTAAGCAGCGCATCAAGAAGGAGTCAAAATCGCGAGGCGAACAGCAGTCACAACAACAGCAACAGCAACAGCAGCAGCAATCGCAACAGCAACAGCAGCAACAATCACAGCTCCAACAGCAACAGCAGCAGCAGCAGCAACAGTTGCAACAGCAACAACATCTCCACCAGCAGCAGTATCAGCATCCCCATCATCATCTGTTGCATGCCGCCGATCTGGCGATTGTCACCTCAAGTGCGAGCATGTAGAGTCTAGAGAATTCAGCATCATCCATTGATCCCAAGCCATCGGGGAATCTGCAGTCCCTACAGCATACCAATCTCGATCTATCATTGGCCATCGATGAGAGTGGATTCCCATTTGAGTTGACCTCTGATTATGGCACCCTATCGCCACTCACGAGTCCCTTGAAATTCAATCATTTGTGGGCCAATCATGAATACTATAAGGATGATTCATCCTCTGAGATCTGATCAATCAATCGCTGATGCTGAATAATCTTACCTAGTTGTAATTGTAATCCAGGGGTTGTGTTAGACGGAGAAATCAATTTTCAAGACATTAAATCTTAAAGAAAAACCATATGCTACAGTTATACATACGATAAAACATACGATAGATGATATATCACACATCAATGGAAAAAACAGTTACTAACCATTAAAAAATCATAAATGAAAAGAAAATCCTGTTCAAAATGATCGAAAATGATCGAAACAATCGATCAATTGTCTAAATATCGAAAATTAAGAAAATGGTGATCGAAAAATCTCTTTCGATATATAATGAAAAGTGATCGAATATTATTGATTCGATAAATAGATGATTTAAAAGTGATCGATAAATCGAATGAACATATAAAATATAATACAAAATATGAAGAAAAAAAAAGTGGGAAAATATTTAACTTATGTCTCTAATACTGTGATCTCATGTGTAATAATTATTAATTTTAATTTCTTTACATAACTAAAAACAAAAATAAAACAACACAAAATAATTTTAAAAATTATAATCGTTTCGCCTTTTGCCTTTAGCTAATGTTCATTTTTAAAAAATGCTAACACACAAATACACACTAATTTATTGCATTTTATATATAATAATAAATAAATATATCTATTATAATGATTAACTTATTATCTTAAAGGTTTAGATTTAGGTTTTAACACACAAACAAATAACTAATAACACACAAATCTTAGCATATCATTTTGTTCCCTCTAAGCATTATAAATTTATAGAAATTAAAACATTAAAGCGAACATTGTTTAAAAAATGAAATTTTGACATAATGTTGCCCATTGTACTTCCTTAAAAATGATTCGAAATCAATAAAAAGAATATGTCGAAATGTATATTTAATTTAATTTTATTATTATTTTTTAATTTATAAATGTTCAATCTACTGTAGAAAAGAATTTCTTATTAGTTGTTAAATTTTTTTATCATAAGTTGATTTAATTTTTATATACAATTAGTTTACTTTTACTTTTGAAAAATATATAACATTTTTTAAAACACAATTCAATTTTTGGTTTTTATTTACATTGTTTTGTGTTGAAAAGACTAAAAATATATCGAAAAACTTCATAAGTGTTAGACAATAGGAATCTTTGATAAATTTCAAGCTGAAAAGAAGCCTGGTCACGCGTTATGCCGCAGCGCCCATCGGTCGGAATGTGTTTCTGCGCATTCTGAGCGTCCTAAAAGACACATAGCTATAGCACACACACTGTATACAGATATATTTAGGATGTTAATGATCTATTATTTTGAATGTTCAGCTTATTCTGAAATCTGAGTCGGGCGACTCACAAATTATAGCCTAACGAAACTTGAAACGAAAATTTAAAAAAATGGAACTCTTGTGCTAAATATAGAGATATAAGAGGAGTGCTGAAATACGAATGTAACGAATGGTTTGAAAATCTATATATTTTTTAGGCAAAAAAAGATATTGAAAAATATATATTTTGCAAAGCCGCTAAAGACACAAATTAGAAAGGAATAAGAATAGATTTTAGGAGAGGAAATAAGGTACATATATTTCTATAGATATAAGGATTTAAGGGCAGTGCCAAGATCTGTATCTATATATTTGTATTGAGAGTTTGTCATTTCTTATAGATAATACACCCCCCATCCCAACAGACAAATGAAAGGATATACAAAATGCCTACAAACCAAACAAATAAATGTGTGAAACGTATGTGCCATTAAGAAATTACAAAAAAAAAAAACGAAGCTTATAGAAAATATTTAAACGAAAACACTCACATAAAGATTTTGAAATTTTAAACGTTGTGATTACATACAGTACATTTATATATGTTAATTTAATGCAGCGGTGGGCACACTCCTTTGCTCCCACTATTCCCCCTTTGCTCTGAGAATTTTTTTTCGTCAACTAAAAACCCCAAATAAAATAAGTACGCGAAACCGACAAGGTAACAACAAATGATTTCGACAGCGAGATTCTTGACTCAAGACTCGAGACCGAGGAAAAAAAAAAGAATCAAAAAGCTCGAGCCTCGCTGATAAGGGTTTATTTTTTTGTTGTTGCTGCTGATCCCAAAATTTAAATTTTGTGCCCACAGCTGATTTAATGCATGGTGTTAAAAAAAATGGAATTAAATCCGCTTAAAAGAGAGACAATTAGATATAGTTTCCGATTAGATGTATAATTCAATGTGTATATATGTACTCGTAAATGTGTGTTTTACAACTAAAAAAAAAAATATGTTGCTTATGGACAGTTTTTCTTCCATATTTATAGATATGTAAATGTAATATTCAACATTTGGGATAAATGTATTTTATTGATGCATTCATTTAGCTAGAACCACAATTATTCGCTTAGCTAAGCAGAAAACCAAACAAAACAAAACAAAAATATTCAAAATGCTCAAAGGTGTATTTTTTGGTGTGTTAAAAATTAAATATACATATATACGAGTATGGACAAAAATGAATGTTTTCTTCATGTGTTTTTTATGTGTGTGCACATTAAAAATTAACCTTAAATAAAGTATATATAAATTCATTAAACATTAAGCTCTCTCATTGTTTAAGACTGTCTTTGTGTTTAGATCGAATGTTGTTTGGATTCTATCTGAGATAGATGTAGGATCTATCCATATATCAGTTCTTTTTCTATATAATTATCTATATCTGGGAGTTAGCATAAGTTGGATATATACATATATACAATAATCGAATTATATAGCACACACAAACACACACACACAAACAGAGAAAAATATTAAATATAATATATGCAACAATTTGGCAGAAAACACTTTTTGAAAGCAAATTAAATGAAACTAAATTTAAAATTTAAAACCAAAAGATCACTTGTTTTCTGTTCTTTGAAGGTTGGAACTGTGGCTTCTATTTAGCTGGTCATATAAATTAGTTTGGCATTCGTTTGAGCCATCGAAATGCAGACCCAATAAAAAGCGCAATAAAATTGAAAATAATAGCCACAGTGGCTCCAGAGGAGACGACGACGACGACGATGTGGACATGGACATGGACGATATATGCCAGCACTCAAAACTAATGAAATGTTCCCAAAGTCAAAAGCGATTGCAGGCAGCGGCAGCCACCACACCACACCACCGCCAGGCGGAAAGTCGATTGACCAGAAAAGCCTCTCCTACTAGTCACAGTTCTCTTCTATTTTCATTTAGGAGAGCTGCTGCTCACCTGCTGCTGCTGCTCTGGCACTGGGCTGCCAGCAGCGACAGGCGCATGTCGGGGCCTAAAAAAATCTTCATATTTTTTTTTTGTTGTTTTCTCGTTCGCTCAAAGACGAGCAGCCCGCCAATGTCTCGGGGAAGCGCGCGGCCAAAGTTATGAGCGCAATTCTATCGTAAAAATGCAAAAAGGAAAAGGACAAATCATGTCCAAAGAAAGCAGAATGTGTAATGCTCTGCTTTCAACTGTTGCTTCCATTTTTTGCTTGAATTAATGCTTGACCCGAGACGCACAAGCGAATGCTGCAAAGAAATGCCTGAGAATATTTTTAATTGTTTCTTTAATAATGCTGCACAGAAAATTCGATTATTTCTTTATCACAATTCTTTTCCAACCATTCACGACCTTTCCGTCTTAGTGTATTGTGTAACCCAAAGACTCTTCTTTCATAGGGCATACAAAAATGCAAAATGCTTTCACGGCTGCCGCGCTCTGCCTCTTGCGGCTGCCACAGTTAAGGTTCGTTCTATTCTGGAGCCTTGCCTTGACCGAAACTAGAAATTCTTGTCTTTCGCAGGCAATCATCATTGGAGGAACAAGAGGAGCCAACAGAGGAGCTCTAGCTCTAGCTCTGGCTGTGTAGCTGTAGCTGGAGGTTCGCCTTGTGTGATTTGTGTGCTTGCGGTACAATTTGAGCCCCAAGCATGCCACAGTTGGTGATGTCTGTGTGTGTGTGTGTGTGTGCCCCAGTCTTCTTTCAGTTCGTTCGATGACCACAACGCTTATGACAGGCGCAAACAAAATTATTTTTGCATCCTTTTGCGCCGCCAGGTGATGAACTGTCGGCAGTATGCAGCAGCAGCAGTAGCAGCAGCAGTCCCCCGTCTCATGAGGCCATGTGGCATGTGTAGATGTCGTCTTAAGTGCCACCGATTTGACATGTTTAGGTGTTTAGATGTGGCACGATCCAAGATATGCCACCAAATTGATTTCGTTTTGATAAGCAGCTATATTTCATCTTTTATCGGTAATATTTTGAGAGTCATTCGATTGCTTTTGAGCTGTCATTCGATAGAGAGAGAGAGAGAGAGAGAGAGTCACACACACAGAAATGACAGACAGAGAGAGAGAGGTGGCCTCTGGCTATCACCTGGCGAGAGGTGTCGCCGAACCGCGCCGTCACTCAGTTGTTGACTATCAAAAACCGGACTCTACTTTTGTAGCAAAGCCCCCCGAGAGTCGACTCCACTACATGCAGCATGCAGCAGTATAAAGGACTGACTGCCTGCAACCGATCGACGGCTTTGGGAATGTCATGCAGACAATCTCTCTAGTGCCTTGCGCGCAATATCTTTTATTTTATTTTTTTTTGTTTGCTTAACTGCTAATGAGTTGCCGTTAGTGTGATTTATTTCCTAAATAAATAGAATTGCCAGCAGTTAAGCCAAGTTCAAACTTTGCATGCCACATGCCACATGCAACATGCAACACGAGACCCACAACAAGAGCTGTATGCCCGTATGCCCTGACACACTGATCCCACCCTCAAAAATCAAATTAAATGCTGACGAAAGTTTTTGGCTTTGTAATTAGTTTGAGATTTTCACAGAGGGGCGCTGCCGTACGTTGCGGTTCATTTAAAACCGAATGAAAATAAACGTAATAGCTAATTTTCAGAGTTTTCTCTGATGAAATAATTGTCAAAATAAATAAAGTAATAAATAAACTAAAAAATAACTAAATTAAAAGAAAAATAATTTCAAAATATAAACAAACAAATAAAAAATAAGAGTTTTAACTTAAAAACAAATTTAAATAATTTAAAAAATATTTTATATTTTAATTTAAAAAACTGTATTTTATTTTTAAGATTTGGCATGAAAAACTAAAAAAAAATGAATTACAATCCTGTACAATTCATAAGTCGTATTACAAGAGCAGCTTCCATTCGGAAGGTAATTTTCCATCATTCCGTGAGAAATTCTTTTGTGCAAAGGCATTTCACGTCTCTTCCAGTAAGTTTCTAAGGTTAGGGACCCCTCTGGGATGGTCAGTAGCCCGTCGGGCTATTAATAAACCCCACCATATCGCACTGTCTATGACATTTTGACTAATTGAAAAGCCCTCGAAAATATATTATGGCCCGCGATCAGCGAAAGTTCCGCTCTGGGGAATGCTGTTGCTGTTGCTGCCTGCTGCTGCTTCTACTCTTCCCCAGATCTGTGGCCCTAATCAAAACTAATACATCATGAGTGCTGCCGATGCATTAGTAGCATCTGAAGCAGTAGTGGCATCATCAGAGGCTGCAGCAGAAGCAGCAGCATCAGCCTGGCACTGCATAAGGGCACTTCTTGCGGCTCTCTAC